AATATCCCATCATTTTATGAACTTGCCATGTTCTTTCTTACAATTAGTACTCTGCAAATGCTTGGTACTTCTATCTTGAATGCCCTGGTCCTTCACAAACTGCCCCATTCCACTCTTTCCTTTCAACAGAGGAAATTTCTATTCAACTTTAAAAAACCACCTTAAGGGCCCGGCCTGTGGCTCACTCGGGAGAGTGCAGTGCTGATAACACCAAGGCCACGGGTTCGGATCCCATTTAGGGATGGCCGGTTTGCTCACTGGGTGAGCGTGGTGCTGACAACACCAAGTCAAGGGTTAAGATCCCCTTACCGGTCATCTTTAAAAAAAAAAAAAAAAAAAAAAACACCTTAAATATTCTCTAGAGAGATTGTATCCTTTTTTGTTTACACAGCAATTTGTCAGTAAATCTTCTAGAATCCTTATTTTATAATAATAATAAAGCCAAAAAATATACATTGTAGAATTTTTAAAATACAGAAAATTTTAATTATCACTGCACTATTTTAACCCACATCATCTGAAAAGAATTTGTTTGATTTTGACACTTATATTAAACATAAATTAAAATAAAATTAACTATTTAAAATTTTTTCCTTTATTAAAGTCAGAAATGTCTTAAAATTGTAAATACACATTCACCATTACAAAAATTCACAATGATAATCTTCTCTGAAGGACTTAGTCACAAAATTTTCTTATTGTGCTTTATAATAATTTTTTGTGTTACATCTGTACTTATAGGCAGAGATCATGTCTTCAATTGTTTTATATTCTCCAATGAATATACCACAATTTGAATTGTATAGGAAAGTTAAAAGATGTGAGATGAAACATTAAATGATCTTTAGTTTTACCAGCTTTACAGAGAAATAATTTACATATATAATAAAATTTACCAACTTTAGGTGAACAATTCAATGAGTTTTGACAAATGTATTTAGTTGTGTAACCACCACCCACAATAATCACCATATATTTTCATCATCCCAAAAAGTTCCTTTGGTGTCCCTGTGTAGTTAATGGTCTCCTCCCATTTTCAGGCTATGGGAACCAATTACCTTTTGTCTCTATAATTTGTATTTTCTACAAAATCATATAAATAGAAACAAAGAGTATATGTAGTCTTTAGTGCCTGATCTTACACTCAGTATAATGCTTTAAGGGTAGGATCACCCATATACTTTATTATATCAATAACTCACTTCTTTTCAATGTTGAGTGGAATTCCATTCTGTAAATATACCATATTTTTTAAAATCCTTTCTATTGATAATTTGAATTTGTTTTGTGTTATTATGAATATTAGAGTACATATCTTTATATGAACTTCGGTTTTCTGAGTAAATATCTAAGACTAGTATTGCTATATTAAATGGTAAATGCATGTTCAACTTTAAAGAAACTGCCAAACTCTTTCCTAAAGCTGGTGTATGAGATTTCTAGGTGACCCACTTCCTTGCATCACTTAGTACTATTTTTTTTTTTTTTAAAGATGACCGGTAAGGGGATCTCAACCCTTGGCTTGGTGTTGTCAGCACCACGCTCAGCCATTGAGCAAACCGGCCATCCCTATATAGGATCCGAACCCGCGGCCTTGGTGTTATCAGCACCGCACTCTACCGGGTGAGCCACGGGCCGGCCCTAGTACTATTTTTTTAAATGGAGCTATTCTACTTGGTGTAGACAAATAGCTTGATGTATTTTTAGTGGGATTTTCATCAATGACAGAAAATCTTTTCACATGCTTATTTACCATTTGTATATTTGTATATTTCACGTGCTTATTTGCCATTTGTATATTTTCTTTGGTGGAAGTGGCTGTTAAAATATTCTTTTTAATCAGGTTAACTTCTTATTCTTTATGTACATTAGATTCAAGTCCTTTATCAGATATAAATTTTAAAAAAGACTGTATCTTGCCTATTAAGAGTGATTTTTTTTTTTTTTTTTTTAAAGATGACCGGTAAGGGGATCTTAACCCTTGACTTGGTGTTGTCAGCACCATGCTCACCCAGTGAGCTAACCGGCCATCCCTATGTGGGATCCGAACCCTTGGCCTTGGTGTTATCAGCACCGCACTCTCCCGAGTGAGCCACAGGGCCGGCCCAAGAGTGATTTTTGAAGAACCTTTTATAATATTTTTTTAAATTTTGGCAGCTGGCCAGTGCAGGGATCTGAACCCTTGATCTTTGTGTTATAACAACACTGTGCTCTAACCAACTGAGATAACCAGCCAGCCCTGAAGAATTTAATTCTGATGAAGGCCTTTTTGTAAATTCTTTATTGTATGGTTCACATTTTTGTGATCTATCTAGGAAATTTATCTTGATTTTTTGGTAAAATTTTTTTGGTTTTTAAAAATATTTGCTTCTGTTAACTATTATATTTCGACTAAAGTGTTGTTAAAGTGACTAATTACAAAAAATCTATTAAATAAAGATCACATATATTGAAAAATCAGGACCAACTCTTTTAGGAAGTATAAAAAAGAAACAGATGAATATATTTCTTTTGTATTTATTTCTTCCCCAAAAGAAAATCACTGTATTAAAAAAACAAACAAAAACCCTTAAATACATCAAACACACACACACAAAATGGTAGATATACATGAAGTATGATCAAAGTGATCACTTACAATTTTCAAGTTATCCCCTTAAAAGGAAGTGGAACATACCATATTTCCTTTTTCCTATTCTAGAATAAAATGATGGTAGTGAGCTATCCTGGACAATGAGGACAAGGACAACATTTTAGGGATAGGAAAACAATAAGACAAAAAATAACATTAGTTTTAAATCCCATGGGTTGTCTTTCCACTCTGTTGATTGTTTCCTTTGCTCTGCAGAAGCTTTTTAGTTTGATATAATCCCATTTGTCTATATTTTCTTTCAGTGCCCATGCTTTTGGGGTCTTATTCATAAAGTTTTTGCCCAGTTCTGCATGCTAAAGTGTTTCCCCTATTTTCTTCTAGGGGTTTTATAGTTTCAGGTCTTATTTTTAAATCTTTAATCCATTTTGAGTTGATGGTATATGGAGAGGGGTATGGGTCTAGTTTCATTCTTCTATATATGGATACCTAGTTTTCCCAGCCCCATTTATTGAAGAGGCCGTCCTTTCCCCAATGTATGTCTTGGTGCCTTTGTCAAAGATCAATTTGCTGTAAGTATGTGGATTGATTTCTGGGTTCTCTGTTCTTTTCCAATGGTCCATGTGTCTGTTTTTATGCCAGTACCATGTTGTTTTGGTTACTATAGTTTTGTAGTATAATTTGAAGTCAGGTAGTGTAAAGCCTCCAGCTTTATTTTTTTTACTCAGGATTGCTTTGGTATTCAGGGTCTTTTGTTGTTTCATATGAATATTAGGATTGTTATTTCTATTTCTGTGAAGAATGTCATTGGTATTTTGATGGAGATTGCATTGAATCTGTAGATTGCTTTGGGTAGCATGGACATAAAAGACAACCTACAGAATGGGAGAAAATATTTGCAAACTATGCATCTGACAAGGGATTAATATCCAAAATATACAAGGAACTCAAACAACAGTAAAAAAAAAAAAACAACCTAATTAAAAACTTGGCAAAGAAGCTGAATAGACATTTCTCAAAAGACATACAAATGGCCAACAGGTACATGAAAAAATGCTCAATATCACTAATCATGAGGGAAATGCAAATCAAAACCACCCTGAGACACCATCTCATCCCAATTAGACTGCTATTATCAAAAAGACAGAGAATGACAAATCCTAGCAAGGATGTGAAAAAGGGAGAATGCTTCTACACTGTTGATAGGACTGTCAATTAGTATAGCTTTTATGGAAAACAGTATGGAGGTTTCCCAAACAACTACAGAGAGATCTACTATACGATCCAGTAATCCCACTACTGGGTATATACCCAAAGGAATGGACATCATCATGTCGAAGGGAAACCTGGACTCCTGTATTTATCAAAACTCTATTTTTTTGTCTTCTCAGTCCTCCAAACTCCTCCAACCTTTGCCTAACTTCTTGGTACCAATTTTCTGTATTAGTCTATTCCTGTTGTTTATAACAAAATACTTGGAATTGGGTAATTTATAAAGAAAATGAAATTTATTGCTTACAGTTTCTAAGGATGGGGAGTCCAAAGTCCATCTGGTGGTGGTGACAGTGACCCAGGGGTCTCACACTGCAAGATGGTGGAAGGAGAGAGAGAGGGAGGGAGAGGGGGGGGGGAGAGAGAGAGAGAGCGAAAGAACAAACACAATAATATGGTGTGAATAGAACTGTGGTTATCAGAGGGGGCAGGAGTAAGAGGGTATTTAGGGAGAAATTGGTTAATGGACACAAAGAATGAATATATTCTGTAATGACTGATATGCCAACTGTCCTGATTTGATCATCACATACTGTACACAAATATTGACAGTCAACTTTGTACCCCACAATTATGTATAATCAATTATGTTTCAATAAAAATTAATAAATAAACAAACAAACCCCATGGAGCCACCATACTTTCTTGTACGAATTTAAATTACTGTAACATTGGGTCTTTGTTGCCGTAGCCTTGCCTATATAGCAGCTAATAAACTAGCATTCCACTGAATGCATTTAAGTGACATGCTATACGTTATACAAAGGTACTTCAAAAAGTTCATGGAAAAATGAAATTAAAAGATAATACAAATCTTTCCACGAACTGCTTGAAGACCCCTCGTACTTATAGCACTTAGCATGGTAGAAGACACCGTACACATTTTAATATTATTACTATATTACATATTTAGAGATTCTCTAAGAGAAAAATTCATAAGTAATAAACTTTTTAATAAGCAATTTGAAATTAAAAATTATTTTGGTATCTTCTGGTAGGTTCCAAGTAAGTGGGATAAAGCATTTGTTGTATCACATGAGTAAATTGACATCATTAAAACAGATGAACAGTCACTTTCTTTAATTATTATATTTGGTAATATCGTGGTAAAAGCAAAAGTACTTATGAAAGTTCTTACCATGGAAAGGTATTCATTCGTACTCTATTCTTATAAATGAGAATTCCTCCTGACATCACTCCAATCATAATTTCATTGTTACTTTGATCCTTCAAAAAAATAAAATAAAAACATGACAAATCTAAAATAATAGGCTTTAATTGTTAGACAGATATTTTAAAAACAGGATTTTATTTTTTTAACACAACATTGCATTTTTAAAGGTAGCACAGAATTATGTATTTACAAACCCAAATGGTAACTATTGGCTCATAAAAATAAAGGACAAACTTCAATCCAAACATAAATGTTGCATTATAAAAATTCAATTATCTAAAGCAAAAACAATGTCAGGATTTCCCATAATTTATGTCTGGGGCTGATTCTTTGGGGTAGAAAGCTAGAATCCAGAAATTAAAAGTTCTTTTCCTTTTGCAGAATGACGAGTTAGTATCCATCCTTCCATTTCGAAAACTATCAAGATCCAATTACTGAGTAAATATGGTGCTAGGTTTGCAAAAATAAATAAATCACGGAGGAGTTCCGATTTCGGTAAAGGGGAACATGTAATAAAACTATTTACAATACAATGAAAAATCCTATAACTAATATAATGCATTAGAAACATCATGAGAGTATAGAATGAAGATCAATTCTTGGAGAGTTTGGAGGACCCCAGAGAAGAAAACTTGAATTGTGTGTCAAAAATGAGGGAGAGTTTCATACTAGCTGACCCAATTTGAACAGTTAACCTGCATTCCTGGGAGAATAAAGAGAATTAAAGCACTTTTTTTAGATGCTAATCAACCTTGAAACAGTTTTGCTTCTTCACTTGAAACACTATAGGCAACCTAATATAGCAAGCATGCTTTTACCTTTTATCATTGTTTAGTTCAGAAGATAGAACTAATTAATAAAAACGTAAACAAGATTTTTTTTTGACCGGTAAGGGGATCGCAACCCTTGGCACCATGCTCAGCCAGTGAGCACACCGGCCATCCCCACATAGGATCCGAACCCATGGCCTCGGTGCTACCAGCACCACACTCTCCTAAGTGAGCCACGAGGCTGGCCCTAAACAAGATTTTATAATTGTCTCCCTAGAACAAATCTTTTAAAATGTAGTTTCAATAATTACAAATGAAATAAAATCTTATTAAATCCATATGTCAGGTAGGATAATACACAAGTGGTCAAATGCAACAGTGTATGAAGGTACTTCAAAAAGTTCATGGAAAAATGTAATTAAAAGATAATGTGAATCTTTCTATAAACTTTTTTTTTTTTTTTTTAAAAGATGACCGGTAAGGGGATCTCAACCCTTGGCTTGGTGTTGTCAGCACCACGCTCAGCTAGTGAGCAAACCGGCCATCCCTATATAGGATCCGAACCCGTGGCCTTGGTGTTATCAGCACCGCACTCTACCGAGTGAGCCACGGGCCGGCCTGTTTCTATAAACTTTTTGAAGAACCCTTGTATATGAATTTGTCTGGCTGCTCTCTTTTGGCAATAACCACCACTACTATACACTATTATTATGTCATTTTTTAAAGGACATTAATTAAAAGTTTGGATCAAGATGGTAGACTAAGCCTAAAAGATGGAAGACAAAGTATAGGCTGCTATCACAACCTTATAAAACATCAGAGAAAATATATGAAAAGAGAAAGAATCTGCAATACTTGAAAACAATCTACAACACTTGAAGAAATTTTATCAATGGACCGGACATTTTGAGGAATCCTTAAAGACAAAGTGGGTAAGATCAGATTTACAGAGATAGCAATTAAATCCCCCCCCACAGCCTAAACTATGAACAAAAGAGACTGCTCTATGTGGAGAAAGAAACAGAAACAAAGTCAACAGATACAAGTTCAGAGATGATGGATAAAAGAAATAAATAAAGGGGGTTCTAGCTGGTCTCCTGGCCAAAAAAAAGAAAAAAGAAATTAAGAGGGCCCTCAAATTACTGTCAGGATGATCAGGTAGGGAGCAGCTAAGGCAATTAGCTCCTACCAATCTCACAGTCATACTCTGACTGGACAGGGCTACAGGAAATAGAAGTGTGTGCAGCCTGTAAAATAGCAAACAGTGGATACTAGGGACAGGGAATTAGAATGAGTGATCCCCAGAAGGGACTGATGGAGAACCCCAAACTGAAAAAGGCAAACTATAGATAGGCACATTGTACCTGGCTACATATTCCATCCCTCCTCCACCATCACTATGGCAGGCTACAGTAAAGAAAACAGCATCCACAAGTAAGTGAACTAGGAATCACAAATACAAAAGGAAGTACACAACCAAGGATCACCAAGCATTTGATGAGAACTATTATTATTACCGAAAGAGATATACCAAACTCAGCAAACAGATAAATCAATCAAGATGCTATGTTGGTAGAAAAACAAACACGTTTAGGGATATGTAGGGACTCAAGTTCTTAAAATTATAGATATCTAGACTGATGTGACAGTTCTCAAGGTGGTGTCAGAGGTGAGCAAGATAAAACAAGAGTATTATGTCTTTGCCGTGGATTAAATGACCCCCCGCCAATTCACTGAAGCTTGACCCTCACTGTAACAGTGTTAAGAGGGTGGGAAATCTGTTTATAGTATTTCAAAGGTGGGGCCTTAAAGAGGTGATTAAATTGCCAGGACTATGCTCTTGTCAATGGAAAAATCCATTCATGGAGTAATGGGTTAATGGTTTACTGGGTAACAATGGATATAAACTGGTGTCTTTACAAGGTGAGCACATGAAAGAGCTCTTGCTTATGCCATTCTTGGCATGTGATACCCTGGTTGCCATGGGGACCCTGTAGAGAGTTCTCACCAAGAAGCCTCTCATTAGATGTGCCCCCTGGACCACGGACTTCCCAGCCTCCCAAACTGTAAGAATAAATTTAATTTCTTCATAAATTACCCAGTTTCAGGTATTGTTATAAGCAATAAAAAACAGACTAATACAGTCCTTCATGGACTCAAATGCTTATAATTCCAATGTCTACAAAAATGTACTTTAACCACCCTAATTTAAAATACCTTACTTTGTTTTTCTTCATATAACTTATTACTATCCAATATTATACTATACATTTACTTGTGTACTGTTTTTTTCCCATCTTCTTCACCCATCTACCTAAGTAACAGTAAGTAGAGCATTTGTTTTGTCAACTGTTGGGTTCTTAGGCGTAGAACAGTACTCATTTATGGAATGAATGGCTGACTATCATCTGTATGAAAATGTCTTACCTGTTTAGCTTGGCATCACAGGCCTTTAAACAACTATCCTACCCCATTTTATCTCCCCCATCTAAATAGTAAAAATCTACTCTACTCAGACTTGTTTCACGATGTACTCTGTATCCATAATTCCATGTACTTTATTTTAATGGAATTTTAATTTTTATTTAGGCTTATAAAAAATATAGCTAGAAATACGTTCCTGAACTCTAAAAGCAGTTGTTTTTTTTTTTTTTCCCCTTTCTGTCTTTTTTACTGACCGGTAACGGGATCGCAACCCTCGGTGTCGCGCCCGTACTGGGGACCGGCAACGGGATCGCAACCCTCGGTGTTGCGCCCGCACCGCGCTCAGCCAGTGAGCGGGAACCGGTCTCCACATGGGATCCGAACCCTCAGTGGGAGCGCTGCCGCACTCCCAAGCAGCGCACTCTCCAGTGCGCCACCGGGCTGGCCCTCTAAAAGCATTTTTGACTGACTTAACCACAAATATGTCCTTGCAAAATTCACCACCTGGCCAGGTTCAAAATCTGCCTATTTCCCAATGGAATCTACCATCAGTGTTCTATTTAGCAAATATATATCTGAGTGAAGAAGTGATTGATCTTCAAGGGCACCGAGGCGTGGGGGCAGCTGTCTTGGGCAGACTTAGATACTGTCCATGGCTTTGAACTCGCTGAGGGCCTGCACGGGACTCATGTGCTTCTCCTGAGATGCTCGTTTAATCTTGGTCTGTTTCTCCTGTTTCTCTCCCTTCATCAAGGGCTTTTTGTCCGACACCTTCTTCTTCCAGGACACGGCAGGAAGGTTGAGGGAAGCCACGCCCAGAAGCTTTTGGTATTCAGCAGAGGCTACGTAGGACGCCTTCACTGTTGGAGTTTGGATGTGTTGTCCCCTCCAAAACTCATGTGGAAATTTGATCCCCAATGTGGTGGTATTGGAAACTGATTGAGTCATAGGGGTGGATCTCTCATGAATGGATTAATGCTCTGGGGGTGAGTAATGAGTGAGTTCTCGCTCTATTAGCTCCTGCAAGATCTTGTTTTTATACAACCCTGGCACCTCCTCTCTCTCTCTCTTGCTTCCTCTCTCGCCATGTGATCTGCTCGTACCCACCAGCAGCCTGCCACTTTTCCATCATGAGTAGAAGCAGCCTGAGGCCTGTGCCATATGCAGCTGTCCCAGAATCGTAAGCCAGATAAACCTCTTTGCCTTATAAATTATCCAGTTCTGTTATAGCAACACAAAATGGACTAAAACAACCGTGCACCACGGTGTTCAAGTTTTTGGCTCCCCAGATCAGGGACATGGCGCTGTCCACCCCGGAGACAACGAGCTCTCCACCCAGGTTCTGTACCTCAACCTTGACTTTGCTGCAGATGTCAAGCTGGTGGCAGTAGGGGGCGAAGTGCTGCAGGTAGGCCAGCAGGTCCTGCTTCCAGGCCAACTCTGGGCAACGGTCTGCAATGGTACAGCCAAGCTTATCCATCCTGGATCCTGTCTCAGCAATTTTCCTGGCAGCACTGATCATATCTGATGTATTTTTTAGTGGTCCTTAACTTCAAGTGAAGTCAGTCATCTCCACCATAATCATGCACATGTGCTTCGCCAGCATGATGATATTATTGCCACTATCATCCCTCTTGGACACTTCAGAATCCAGCTTGCTCTCTTCTTCCTGAAAGCTGGCCACCTGTTCTGCAATCTTCGTTTTTTGCTCCTGGGGAGGCTGAGCCATGATCTCCTGGGCACTCTGGCTGGCTATCAGCTGATCACCTTCAGTCTCAACACTTGTCCTACTTTGACATTGAAATCTTCCATCTCAAAGCCAGAGTCATCCAACTCCTCAGGGGTCCTTATCATCAGCACTGCTTTCCTGATGTACTGGATGCTATTGTACACCAGGTGGGAAGCATTGATAAATTTGTTCTCATCTATGGACTGGACCGGGTCTGAGCTGAGGGATTCCACAGCCACTTCTACTTGCTATGTAAAATGTGACATAACTGTTGGAGAGCAGCTTGGTGGCTTCTAGAATTGTGGAAGTAGAGATAACCCCCAACCTTTTTGGTAAACAATACCAGATACTTAGGACCTTCCATTACCAGGTGCTTAAGACCTTTCGTCGCCAGAAGATTAGGACTTTCCGCTGCCAGGGGGAAGGGACTTTCCAAAGAGCCCAAAGTTCACCCTGTCCCAGGAAGGGAGTATGCTCACTTGATTGCAGGAACGGCATGACACCTTATCTTTGGACACCAAGGGAGGAAAGAGGGGGGGGTGGACCGTTGGTCAATACCTCAGTCTTTCCTTTGCCCGCCAAAAGCTAAAAGCCCAATGGTTTTAAAAATTGCTTAAAGTGGCCAATAAACGGCGTACAACCCAGCCTGTTACCAAAGCCTGCCTACCAAACTGTATAAAAGATGCTTGAGTTAAGAGCTCGGGGCCGCTCCTGTCCTGAAAACGGGGTGACCTCCAGCATGCCGGAAATAAAACCTCTTGCTTGTGCATCGATCTCTGCCTCCTGGTCTTTGCGAGATGAGCCTTCCCATCAAGTTAAGATTCGTGCTTTTGGGCCAGTCTTACAGAACCTCCTCTGTGTAGACTCCTGGCTTATAGTTGTCCATCTCTGAGGTGACTACGTGAATGACCTGGGCTGCCCGGCCTCATACTACACCAGCTGTGCAGTCCAGCCCATCCACATCCTTCTCTTGGAGAGCAATGACACATTTGTTCACATCTTCCAAAATGTGATTCTCTGAGACAGCCAAGAAGTCATTAATGGAAGTAATGTCATCGACAGCATCTGTGAGAACACAGACTTGTTTTTCCCACTGTTCTTTAAGAAGATCCATGTTCTCTTGGGCCAGTTTACTCTGTGGTTTTGCTGCTAAAGCCAATGCAGCATTGATAACCTGAGGACAGAGGGCTTCTAACTGACTTACAAACATTCAAACAAGCTTTATGCTTTCTTCATTGTTTCAGATGGAACAGACCAAGTTGGCAACCTCAATTAACTTGTTGGCATGTTCACGGAAACCTTGGGCATACTCCTTAACCTCTTTCTCATTTCCATTTTTTGTAGCTTCGATCAATACAAAAGTGGAACATTGGTTTCCAGGAAAGGATCTGGCATGTGGTCCATGACAACTTTGTGGAGCTGTTTATGCAAGTCCCTGGTCTTCTTAGTCATTTTATCTATTCAGTACATCACTTCTTTCTTTACATCTGGCATTGCCCATGTACTCAGACAGCAGGTCCTGCAGGGCCTGGTGGACAGCACTGAACTCTGCCATGACTCGCTCTGGCTGCTCATCATGCATGCAGGAAGAGTCAGCCATAAGGGCAGCCTTGCTAATGATGCTCTCTAGATGCTTCTCAGGGAAGGCCTAAAATGCTCCTCACTGAAGCTCAAGGGATCCATTGTGATTTGTTCATCAAAGTTATTGAGTGCATGTGCCAGTTCTCCTCCTCCTCCTCCTCCCCCCTTTTGCTGGGACACATCATCTGACCCGGTGGCCTGGGCTGCACCGCAAATGCCTGTGACTGCCTGCTGAAGTTGCTTGTATATCAGGTCCCTGTTGGCCTTATAGGCTGCCATGTCACGGTGCTGTAGATATGCCTGTGATGCAGTATAGAGGATTAGAACGTTTCTCTGCAGGACTCCTCTAGCTGCAGCCATCTGATCATGATGGCCTACGTCTTTCAGTTCCTGTTGCCTTTTGGCTGCCATAATGTTCAGCATATTCACTTCAGGTTTCAGGGCTTTATACTGTATTCCTAAGTCTTGTTCATTGCCAGCATTCCTCAGTTTCAAGATACCATCTTCTACAACTTTCAGCTGAATAAGTAATTTGTAGATGTCTGCCACGTCAGCCAAAATCAGCAGCTGGGTAATGGCAAAGAGCAAGGCTTGAGCTGCCCAAACCATGTTGCCCTACTTCACGGAAGAACAGGGATCACCTGCAAACTCTCCTGCAGCACTCTTCATCAAATCACTTTGTTTTCGATCATCTTCCACAGTAGCCACAAGCTCCTCCTTGAGAAACTGGCTCTCCTTTGCAATTCTATCCCCCTTCCCCAAGAAATTCTCAGTTGCTTGTTCAACAGATGCAGCCAAAACATGGGCCTTCTTAGAATGACCTCTCTTCTTATTAGAGGGCCCCTTACTATTGGTGTTTACCAGGGTTGTAACCTGTGTAACAAGAGGCTCCAACAATATTTTAACTACCAGAGTCCTGATCTCTTGACTTTTGGGGTACCATTTGAAGTTTATGCTGCCTCTGTGGACAGCAGTCATTTCTGCGGCAGGCGGGGCAAGGGCTAGAGAATTCCCGAGGACCGAAACCCTAATTCCATGTTTTGTTAAAGCCATTTTCATACTTCTTTCACATCTCTCTGCCAAATCAAATCAAAACAAAGTCTAGCTCACATTCATCTTCTCTGTGAAAACCTCATTAATCCAAATCTACGTTTCCCTCATATTACTCTGTTTCTCAAACCACTTACCTGAAATACCCAATTATTGTCAGTGATATGACAAGGGCTGGGATTGTGTGTGAGTGTCTGTCAAACTATGTGTGGTAGGGCCGGCCCATTGCTCACTTGGGAGAGTGTGGTGCTGACAACACTAAGTCAAGAGTTAAGATCCCCTTACCGGTCATCTTTAAACAAACAACCAAAAAAATTCAAACTATATGTGGTAAAGGACTAGTTATGTCTGTTTGTTCTGTTTAAATTTCCTATCTGTCAGGTATTGATACTTTTGCAAAAGACAGAGATGACATAGAGGTGCTACGGTTAAGGCCTTGAATTCTCACAGCGCCAATTGTCTAGCTCTTAATCCTGTTCGTGATGCCAATTGTAAAGCTACTTGACCACAACTACACCAGTTGTGGTGCTCTTTTACCTGCTGGTAATCCTGTACCAACTGGGCCAACTGTCCAGCTTAGGCTGGGTCTGGAGCCCACAGACCCCTCAAGCTTGTTCACAGACTGGGCCACAAACCCTTCACATACCAGGCTGGGTCACCAGACCCCTTAACACAGGTCTATGAGCTAGGTAACCAGCCAAAAGGTCCTTGGAAGCCGTAGGTTTGGAAAAGCATGGCTGTGCTGACAGCAGCCGCTCAGACCAGGCAGTAAACACCAGGCAAAGTGGTGGTGCTGTGCTAAACACACACACACACGCGCACGCGTTTAGAAAGAATGCTGAACCACACCCAACTGGACCCGAGGCGAGGGCCCTGACCAAACTATTCTATTTTCCCAACACATGCTTTATGTTAAACTGCTATGAAAGTTTCTAAATGCTTACACTTTATTTATTTAATACTTTCTGTGTTTATCTTGTCACGGACCAATAACAAACAGTTCATGGATCAACACCAATATATATATATTTTTTTCCTTTTTGGCTTTTTTTCGTGTCCGGCAACGGATCACAACCCTCAGTGTCGCGCCCATACCGGACCAGGACCGGCCACGGGATCGCAACCCT